CTTTTCACAGATGAAGATACAGGCTCAGAAAATATGGACAACTTGCTCAAGGTCACACAAATGACAGCTGTTGGAGGAGGGGTCTGGATACTGTAGTGGGTTGCCCTTCTGGGCCTCAGTTTTTGAGGTTAAAAGGTCACTTAACTTCCATGGGCCCCCAGTTTTTCTATATTTAAGAAGTATCTTAGTTGGGCACAGTGGCTCACGCCTGTAATCCCAGCATTTTGAGAGGCTAAGGCAGGTGGATCACTTGAGGCCAGGGGTTCAAGACCAGCCTGGCCAACATGGCAAACCTCATCTCTATACAAAAATTAGCCGGGCATGGTGGCATGCGCCTGTAGTCCCAGCTACTTGGGAGGCTGAGGCAGGAGGCTTGCCTGAACCCAGGAGGCAGAGGTTGCAGTGAGCCAAGATTGTGCCACTGTACTCCAGCTTAGGTGACAGAGTGAGTCTCTGCCTCAAAAACACACAAAAATCTTTATTGCTTCTTTCCTTGGTCACTCGGATACTTGATAGATGAAAGAGGTCATAGATGTAAAGTACTTTCAGAGATTTTGAACAAACAACTGTGAAAGAAAGCTGTTTATTAATGTAATACACATCTCCTCATGCTAACAGGTCTACTTAATCCATCCTGTCCTAAGGAGCCAAAGAGAACTAACCTTCTCCCCTGTTTAGAGAGAACAGTTTAGTTTGTCCTTTCTAGTCCAGTGCCAAGTCTATTGCACTTTGCTTTCTCACAACAGAAACCAAGCATGTTGATCTCCCTTAAAACCACACAAGTCCAAACAACATGATCATCTCAAAGGATTCCCTTTCTCCTGGAAAATACTCAACAAACAGCTGTCCAGAAAAAAGTTCAGTCCTAATTTGTTGCATTTGTCTATATCCTTGGTGTAAATACTTCCACCATGCCTGATTTCTACTTTCTTCATGACATCATCGAAAACAGTATTAGGAAGAGATGTGCAGTAGCACATCATCATATAGTGTCTCTACCGCCTAGGTACACCAGACATAAGTAACCCCAAAAGGTTAGATAGCAATGAAATTTAGCAAAATAATTAGGAAGTGATGATATTTAGTACCTTTTTTTCTTTTAAATATAATTTGGGTCACCTACAGGCACGGTGTCACACCTATAATCCCAGCATTTTGGGTGGCTGAGGCGGGAGGATGTCTTGAGGCCAGGAGTTCAAGACCAGACTGGCCAACATGGCAAAATCCCGTCTCTACTAAAAATACAAAAATTACCCAGGCACTTTGGCACGCACCTACAATCCCAGCTACTCAGGAGGCTGAGGCATGAGGATCGCCTGAACCTGGGAGGTTCAAGGGTGATAGAATGAGACTCTGCCTCAAAAAAACATATATATATGTGTGTGTGTGTGTGTGTGTAAACATATATGTAAATATATACATAATTTATTGTAACTTTATACCATTTTAGTTTGCTTTCTTTTCTTTCTTTTTTTTTTTTTTTGAAATGGAGTTTTGCTCTTATCACCCAGGCTGAAGTGCAATGGTGTGATCTTGGCTCACTGCAACCTCTGCCTCCTGGGTTCAAGAGATTCTCCTGCCCCAGCCTCCTGAGTAGCTGGGATTACAGGCACCCAGCATCATGCCTGGCTAATTTTTGTATTTTTAGTAGAGACAGGGTTTCACCATGATGGCCAGGCTGGTCTCCAACTCCTGACCTCAGGTGATCTGCATGCCTCGGCCTCCCAAAGTGCTGGGATTACAGGTGTGAGCCATGACATCTGGCCAATTTTAGTTCTTTTTTAAAACAACTTATTTTTGCAAAATTCTTGACAGTTTAGCAATCAGTGCTCATGAGCAAGAATGTGGCAGCTTCAGTTTACTCCTTGTGACCTGCACTTGCACTTGCAGACAGGCAGGATGGAGCACAGAAGCTGAGGCATGTTGGAGAAAGTGCCAAGTGCTTCTGCGATATATTTTTCATTTCTAAAAACAAGATTCGCAAAGAAATAACATGCTGGATTGAAAAATGGTTATTTCGATCTCAAAGATCCTTTAATTGAAAATACTCATCTAGGTCAACTCCCTAGCCATAAGCAAGAATTCTTTCTGGGTCTGTTCTCCAGGGTACCTTATTGATCACAGTCCTATTGGAAAACAGATGGCACACTCAAACGGGGTTTGTCTGAGAAAAGTTTAATGAAGGTATATTTACAAAGACATGGGCTCAGAGAAACCCATAAGAAATGGTGAGGTTAGCCAGAATAGGGAATAATGACCACTTGAGGCCTGAAGATTGGGAAGGAGCAGTCCTCACAGTCTGGAGAGACATGTAGGAGAGGGTTGGCCCACAGGAGATGTGGCCTTTAGTTGAGGAACATAGCCAGTGTCAACCTGAGGCCCAGCTGAGGGAATAAATATCTTGATACTACCCTCACCCTTTTCCAGTGGCTTGCTGCATAAAAAATTATGAATGCATTCTGCTGTTTCCCTATAAAAACTTCAGGTAAAGTCACTATTTTTTTTTTTTTTCTTTTTTGAGACAGAGTTTCTGTCTGTTGCCCAGGCTGAAGTACAATGGCACGATCTCAGCTCACTGTAACCTCCGCCTCCTGGATTCAAGCGATTTTCCTGCCTCAGCCTCCTGAGTAGCTGGGACTACAGGCCCATGCCACCACACCTGGTTAATTTTTGTATTTTTAGTAGAAACAGGGTTTCATCATGTTAGCCAGGCTGGTCTCAAACTTCTGACCTCAGGTGATCCGCCCGTCTTGGCCTCCCAAAGTGCTGGGATTACAGGCATGAGCCACTGCACCCGGCTGGTAAAGTCACTATTAATAAGTCACTTAAGTCACTGCTTCTTGAGCACTGACCATTGGCTGAGCCCAACCAGAAACCAGATGACAAAGGAGCCTGTTGAAGCAATGCATAAAGGAAGTGAATTCATTAATTCACTTCTTAGTCCCAAGAGCAGGGGAATAAGGATGGCGAGTAGATTTGGAAGGGCAGAGAGATTATCCAGCACAGTTCCTCAAAAGTTCACTGCAAGAAGTTATTCCCATTGAAGCATCTAGGCTAATGTTTCTGAAAATTTAATGGACATACTTATCACCTAGAGATTAAAATGCTATTCCTGATTCAGTAGGTCTGGGGTGAAGCCTAAGAGCCAGGTGATGCTGATGCTGCTGGCTGGGGACTACCCTTTCAGTAACAGGATCTTAGGCTATCCCTGACCTCCATTCCAAGCCCCACTGGGCTTGTCTAGCTAAGGGTATCAGGGCCAAAAAAAAAAAAAAAAAAAAATCCTTAGTGCTTCCCTTCCCACTTCCTACCTTTCCTTCCTCTCCTTCCACCAGAGTATCTTCCTGATGCAGCCCAACTACCTAGTAACAATCCAGAATTCTGTTCTCTGTCCTCCCCTTCTCCCAAGGCCAAGCTGGAAAGGGGCAAGTTTGTGGACCCCCAGTACTTTAAAGCAGACCTCTCCAATGGAGGAAATCCTTAGGGAATATTCCAAATTCCCCACAGCCTCCCCTGTGTACTTCTTCTTTTTTTTTTTTCTTTTTCTTTTTTTGAGACAGAGTCTCGCTCTGTCGCCAAGGTTGGAGTACAGTGGCGTGATCTCGGCTCACTGTGACCTCTGCCTCCCTGGTTCAAGCAATACTCTGCCTTAGCCTCCCAAGTAGCTGGGATTACACACACTCGCCACCACGCCCGGCTAATTTTTTTTTTTTTTTTTTTGTATTTTTAGTAGAGATAGGGTTTCACCATCTGGTCAAGACCTCCTGACCTCGTGATCTACCCACCTCAGCCTCCCAAAGTGCTGGGATTACAGGCACGAGCCACCACGCCCGGCAGTACTTCTTTTTTCTCCTCATCCTCATCCTTATAGTCAAGGTTGCTGGAGAAAGCCAGTGATCTCCCAAAAGAAAAAGGTTTTCAGCCAAGCCATGGGATGGCACTGGGGAGAGAAGTGCCCCCACTCCTCATTAGAGCTTTTCACTGCATGGAGTAGCTGAATGGCCATTCCACTTGTGCACATTTTAGAGCTGCCAGGGTGTCATTATTGATGGGCTCTGACCATGATAGAGGTCCCTGCTCCTTCACCAGCACTTGATGCAAGCCCTTTGGAAGGCGTAGCTCTGGGAGTTGTTCACAAATCTTGAGCATTAAATAAAAGATGTGCCTGTGTTTGTGTGCAGAACCGATTGGCCACCAGGAGTAAAATCGTGGGTGGTATGTCCATTCCCAGACACATACAAGCCAGAGAGGCTCCCATTCTGGATTAATGGAAATCTTCACTCAGCTAGTGACGAGTGCCAGGAAGCAGGTTAAGTCTTCATTCCTTACAAGGCAAGGATGCAATGACTCACAAGACTGAGGAACGGGGTTATTTAGCTCTGTTCTAAAGCAGGAGGAAGCAGCTGTGGCCTTATCTCTTGGACCCTTGTTCAGCTTGCCTGATATAAGAAAAATTGGCCCTAGGACTATTCCCATTAATTCTAGATGTGGCACAGGTATTTGTGCTAGCAGTTATATATGTATGATGTATGCATGGTGGGGGGCAATGACTGTAAAGCTGGAAGTTGGATCAAGATGGCCTAAGTATAATTTCTCCTCCTCAGGGATATAGATAATCTCCTTCTCCTTCTCCTTCCTCTTTTTGAGATGGAGTCTCACTTTGTTGCCCAGGCTGGAGTGCAGTGGCGTGATCTTGGCTCGCTGCAACCTCCACCTCTCAGTTCAAGCAATTCTCCTGACCCAGCCTCCCAAGTTGCTGGGATTACAGGCATGCACCACCATGCCCAGATAATTTTTTGTATTTTTAGTAGCAGCAGGGTTGGTCTCGAACTCCTGACTCAAGTGACTCGCCCACCTTGGCCTCCCCAAGTGCTGGATTGCAGGCGTGAGTCACCATGCCTAGCCAGGAATGTTGACAATTTTCTGAAAGGAGGACAATGCAAGAACAATAATTAGATGTAACGCTTCTGAGACTTTCCTCATTATCTATGTTCACTTACCGTCGTTCCCACATGGGATAATTTCCATGCACAGTTCTAACAACAGGCGCCACAGTAAGTGAGGGCTTCCTAGGGATGGCTTGTTAGTGAAGTCAGCACCAGATATTCAGACTCTACTAGTAAAAGACTCCCCAAGGGGCATGTGTCTGGTGGCCTGGGAATAGTCCGACTTGCCCCTTTTCCTGAAAGAAAGCAGAAGAGGATGTGTCCCCAGGTTCCTGGCAAGCAAATGAACCATCCCATAACACTCACCATTCCACTTATTTGGCACTTACAAACCTGACACCATACAGCAATTTAGTTTATAAGGAACTCTTTGATTACATTACCACATTTAATTTTTACACAAACCCGTGAGATCAGTTAAGGCAGGTTTATTACTATTTTGCAAACAAGAAGCTCATGTTTGGCCGGGTGCAGTGGCTTATGTATGTAACCCCAGCATTTTGTAAGGCTGAGGTGGGAGGATCGCTTGAGGTTAGGAGTTTGAGACCAGGCTGGGTAACATAGTGAGACCCTCATCTCTATAAAAAATATGAAAATTAGCCCAACATGATGGTATGCCCGTGCAGTCCCAGTTACTTGGGAGGCTGAAGTGGGAGAATCATTTGAGCCTGGGAGGTTAAGGCTGTAATGAGCCATGATCTCACCATTGCACTCCAGCCTCAGTGACAGAGCGAGACCCTGTCTCAAAACAGAAACAAAAACAAAACAAAACAAAAAACCCCAAAAAACAATCAAGGGTCACAAGAGTTAAATAATGTACCAACTCATCTAAAGCCATAAGACTCTTAGATGGTAGAGCCAGGACTGGAGTTCAGGTGTTCTGACTCTTAATACAGTGTCTTTCTTGAAGCTGCCTTCCTTTTATACACTTTTGTCTAGTAGCTAATTTTCAATTACTTCCTGAGTTTGTCCCCTACAGATTTGTGAGTGCTCAGAGAGCATAGACTTTGTCTCTTTCATTTACTAATATTCCCTCAACACTTTGAGTAGTGCCTGATACCTGGGATGTGCTTCATAAAATTATGTTGAGTAAAGACATGACATAGATTACCAGAGGTGGGACTCTAATTTAGCCTTCTTGGTATCCTTTGCAATTTTTACACAATGGGAGAGTAAACATTATTGATAAGTATAATGACCTAACATCCAGTGGGGGTGTGATGACCCCCAGGAAACCATTCACCCTGTAAGGTCATATATTTTAAGGAAGAAGATCCCTGCCATGGCTTCCCAAATTCTAAGCACTAACTCTCTACTCTTAGCCTTTCTCATTATCTTCAACTGCCCCTCTCTCATCCTCAGGGTTAGGACATTTGCCCTTGGAACAGACTGCCTGGAAGTTGAGGTCTGTGTCTTTTTTAGGAGATAGGCTCTGTGGAGTCTCATAACAATAGCTCTCATCTCCATGTGTTCCCACTGCCACCAGAAATTATAAAATGGTTTGTTTCTCTTGGCAGCCTCCACCCAGCGGTTCCCCATGTGTGTGTTGCTTTCTTCAATTTTCCCCTCTACAAAATCTGGTCATGTTTAATAACAATAAATCAGAGGAGAGATTGCAGCCCAGAAGAGAAGTCTGGGGCAGCCGAGGTTTCCACATCTGGGGCCCATTTGAGTTGAAGTGATGACAATTCCTAATAAATGTTAATGGAGAACCTCCTCAGATTCATATACTCCAGCCATAATTTAGCCTGTCTCTATGCCAGATGACCTTTTGAATATCCAGAGTATGCCCAGCATAGCAGCAGCTACAGCCCTGACTGCTTCCTGCATATGAAGTGGAAAAAACAAGGCTTGTTGTTATTGATTACATTTCTCCATTTTCCCTTCCCTGGATTTTTCTTTCAAAGGCTCACAAAGCCTTGGGACCCCCTCAGCCACCCAGGTGGTTAGAGACAAGTCAGCCTGGTTAAAGGATGTTACGCTCTGCTCCTACAGGAGAGCTCCCTAAGTCTGACAGGCAATGCTGGTCGCAGAGGAGACAGAAATTCTCCCTTTCTGGCCAGGCGCAGTGGCTCATGCCTGTAATCCCAGCAAACAAACAAAGTAACAAACAAAAACCAAAAAAAAAAAAAACAAACAAAAAACCCCACAAAATTCTCCCTTTTCTTGGCTTATGAGACCCTCTGCTGATTTTGTTTCTCTATCCCTTTCACCAGCCACGTTTCCCCCACCTGCCCTTGCTAACTAGGCAGTGTGCAAGACTGGCTTCAGTCTCTGGCTTTTCTCTTCCTATACCTGTCACCTCCAGGAGTCCAATGACCACAAGTGGTTTTCTGTTCTGACTTCTTTCTGAAGGTGTAGTCCTGAATTTCTTTCTTTCTTTTATTTCTTCTTTTGAGACAAGGTCTCACTCTGATCCCCCAGACTGGAGTGCAGTGCTGTGACTTCAGCTCACTGCAGCCTTGACCTCCTGGGCTCAGGTGATTCTCTCACCTCAGCCTCCCAAGTACCTGGGATTACATGTGTGCACCACCATGCCTAGCTAAGTTTTTGTATTTTTAGTAAAGACTGGGTTTTGCCGTATTTCCCAGATTGGTCTTGAACTCCTGGACTCAAGCAATCCACCCTACTCGGCTGCCCAAAGTGCTGGGACTACAGGCATGAGCTACTGTGCCTGGCCTAGTCCTGAATTTCTACCTAAGGGTTAGGCATTTTTGCTTGATAACCAGCCATTGTCTAAATTCTATCATCTAAAATACATTATCATTTCTCCCAAACACAGCTGGCCTCTTCTCCAACTTCCATATATCTATTAAGAGCACTTCTATCATTTCAGCTATACAGGTATAAAATCATGGACCTTCCTTAGGTACCCTCTCTCTCCTGCCTCCTTTTCCCATCAGGTGATAGAACTATTGAATCTTCCATCCATCCCAATCTCATTCCTTTTCACCACCACTGCCACCCCACACTTTAGGCCCTTATTCCTTCACTTTGAAATTACCTTCTAACTGTTCCCTCTCTCTGCTAAACCATCTCTGAACACAGCAATCACATACATCATCTCAAGCCTGTCTTTTTTTTTTTTTTTTTTTTTTTTTTTGACACGGAGTCCTGCTCTGTAGTCCAGGCTGGAGTACAGTGGCACAATCTCGGCTCCCTGCAACGTCCACCTCCCAGGTTCAAGTGACTCTTCTGCCTCAGCCTCCTGAGTAGCTGAGAATACATGCCTGGCTATCAAGATGCTGTCTTGATTAGTCCTTCCGCAGCTCAAAATTCCTCAGTGGCTCTTCATTGACTGAGTATTATTATGATTCAAAGTTTTTCATAATTAGGTGCCCATTTACAATGGAGTGAATCTTTATGTTTCCCCCAAATTCATACACTAAAATCCTAGTCCCCAAGGTGATGGTATTAGGAGGTGGGACCTTCGGGAGGGGATTAGGTCCTAACGGTAGAGACCTCGTGAATGGGATTAGTGCCCTCATAAAAGAGGTGGTCCCAGAGAGTTAGCTTGCTTTTCCCACCATGTAAGGACACAGCAAGAAGGCATCACCTGTGAAGAAGTAGGCTTTTACCAGCCACCAAATCTGCTAGCCCCTTGATCTTGGACTTCCCAGCCTTCAGAATTGTAAGAAATAAATTTCTGTTGTTTATAAGCCACCCAGTCTATGGTATTTTGTTGCAGCAGCTGGAACAGAGTAAGACACCACCGAACTACTTAAGATCACATAGTGTGGAAGCCAGATGTTTAGACTGTAAATCCTATCTGGTTTTCACTATTTCCCCCTTACCTGGTCTAGTGGCATGCCTTATTAGAAAGAATTTATTTAACAAAATTTTTTTGGCCAGGCACAGTGGCTCACGCCTGTAATCCCAGCACCCACTGAGAAGGGTGAATCACCTGAAATCAGGAGTTTGAGACCAGCCTGGCTAACATGGTGAAACCCTGTCTCTACTGAAATTTTTTTTTTTTTTTTTTTGGTGACTGCTACATGCCAGAGTTTGCTGAGTACTGGAGGATAAAGTTGTGAACATGACAAACATTGTTCCTGCCTTTATGGAAACACTTTCTAATGGGGGAGACAGACAAATAAACAGAAAGAAAACAGGCAAATAAAATAATTGCAAACTCCTAGGAAATAAATAATTTATAAACTGCTAGGAAAGAAAGCTAAGAGAAAATAAGTCAGTTCTATAATTTTTTTTTTCCCCTTGAGGCTGAATCTTGCTGTTACCCAGGCTGGAATGCAATGGTGCGATCTTGGCTCACTGCAACCTCCACCTCCTGGGTTCAAGAGATTCTCCTGCCTCAGCCTCCCAAGTAGCTGGGATTACAGGTACACGCCACCACACCCAGCTAATTTGTTGTATTTTTAGTAGAGACAGGGTTTCACCATGTTGGCCAGGGTGGTCTCGAACTCCTGACCTCATGATCTGCCCACCTCAGCCTCCCAAAGTGCTGGGATTACAGGCATGAGCCACCGTGCCAGGCCCAGTTCTATAATATTTTAATTAGGCTTCCAAACTCTCATCTCTCCCTTTGCTACTTTTCTGGTTCCTGAAGATGATCACTTCTTAAGGACCCACCTTATAATAGCTCCAATAAGGAAAAGCATAAATGATACTTTGTAAATACAAATAATTCCCTGAATGTACCTCTGTTTTATTCATCTAAATGTATATTAAACAATTCAAGCTAGATTTGGACATTTAGAATCAATAATATAATCTAGTGATTCCTCATTTGGACCACCAATGAGATAGATCTTTACATTAATGTATGAGGGATTTAGGTTAGACACAATGAAGAACTTTGCAGCAAAAGTTCAGTGGAACAGGTACCTGAGGGAGTGTATCAGTCAACTTTACTAAAATAGTGCTGCATAACAAATAATCTAAAATCTCAGAGATTTATAACATTTATTTTTTGCTCACAGGTTTGTGGATCGGCTGCAGTGATTCTGTTCCAGGTTGTGAATCTTGTTCAGGTCTGCTCCATGTAACTTCTCATTCTGGGGCTCAGGCTGAAGTGACAACGGCATGCTCTTCTTGTGGCAAAGGGTAGAGGTGCAAGAAACCAAGCTTAACCAAGCAAGTAGAGTTAAAGCCTCTGTTTACATTCCATTGGCCAAAACAAGTCACATGGCTAGACCTATCATCAATGGAGTGGGGAAATTTGCTCCTCCCATGGAGGGGAATAGAGGAGAATGAATGTTTGCTGAGCAATAATACACTCCACCACAGGGAGGTTATGGAGTTTCCTTCACAAGTGGTCTTTACAGATAGAAGAGGTTGTTATCTCTCTGGGTTCCTCTGGGTACCATATTACTTGAAGTATAGCAAAGGAAGACCAGAAGACATGATTTCTTAAAGATGCCTATTTTGGTACAAGGGCAATGTAATTTGTGTTTGATATCTGGTTGCCACTGAAGCCCCTTTTCTTTTCCACCAGAGCTGTGCCATGGGGGTGATTTCCAGGCTAAGTCTTAATATCAGAGTCTCTGTGTGATTGTATACAAGTGACAGTCACACAGCAAACATAAATACAGATGGCTCTGATACCATCGGGGAACAGTATTCCTGCCATCGGGCCAGTTTTGTCTGCTGCTACAGCGCAGTTAACTCTGGAATGAAATTGGAAAGCTAACTGATGGTCAGAAGGGACTGGGAAGATTTTCATTTGTAACTGAGACAGGCAGGGCTCAGCAAAAGGTGATGCAAAAGCAGATTTTACCATAGGCTAGGTAAATTCAGCTAACAAACATGCATGCATTGTATTGAATCACTTAAGGATCTTAATATTTGAAAGTATTCAAATGGAAAGACGTGATTGTGCACTCACACCCTCAGCGGTTTTTGACTCCAAGGCTTCATATTCTGTACCCTTTGCACCCTTGGTGATAACCTTTCCTTCTCCTACCTCAGCGTGCTCATTCTCCCTTTTCTCCCTCCCCAATATCTGTTATCAGGAATTCCTTAGGTCCTACTGAAAGTGTAGTTCCCAGACCAGCAGTACCTGGTCTCAGGTGCATCACCTGAGAACCTGTTAGAAATGCAAATTTTGGCGTGCATTCCCCAGACTTGCTGAATTAGGATCTCTGGGTTTGAGGTGGGGAACAGTTGTCTCAGAAAACTGTGTTTTCACAAGCTCTTCAGGTGAGAACTTAAGCACATACACAGAAGTTTGAAAACTACGGCAATTCTGACTCAGTAGGTCTGGGCGAAAGCCATGACTTGTGTTTCTAATAAGCATGCAGATTACACTGATGCTGCTGCCTGTGGACCACACTTTGAGTAGCACTGTTTTAGAACTCAATTACATACACATGAAACGATGGCCAACAGTTAAAAGCCTTACTGGTCCTAAGTGGATAGGATCAAAGTCTTAGAGAATAAAATGAGTCACTAATGGTGGAATTTTAGGCAACAGCCACCAGGGTTTTTTTTTAAAGTATGTTTTGGGCTGGGCATGGTGGTTCACACTTGTAATCCAAGAACTTTGGGAGGCCAAGACAGGTGGATCGCTAGAGGCCAAGAGTTTGAGACCAGCCTGGTCAACATGGCGAAACCCCATCTCTACTAAAAATACAAAAATTAACTGGGTGTGGTGGAGTATGCCTGTAATCCCTGCTATTCAGGAGGCTGAGGCAGAAGAATTGCTTGAACCCAGAGGTGGAGGTTGCAGTGAGCCAAGATTGCATCACTGTACTCCAGCCTGGCAACAGAGCAAAACCCTGTCTCAAAAAAAAAAAAAAAAAAAAAAAAAAAAAGGAAATGTATATTTTGGTCAGAGGGTGGGCCTGGAGCCTCTGAAGCCACGCTGTATGTGATTACTTTCCGTCCCATATACAGAACCCGTCCTGTCTATGGATGATTAAAGAATGAATGCAGCATGGGGGGAAAGCACTGGGCTGGGAGTGAGGAGATTGGGGTTCCAGTTCTTGCCCTGTCACTGAGAGTGTGCACATGGTTGGGTCCCTTACCTCTCTCATACTCATCTATAAACTGAAAAAATGAACTGATGAGAGATATACAATCTCTAGCATCCCTGCTCCACTGTGTCCCCTTTTTTGCCTTGGTTTTTCAAAAATATTGTGGTCTACGTAGTAGGTGTATATACTTATGAGGCACATGAGATATTTTGGTACAGGCATGCAATGTGTAAGAATTACATCATGGAAAATGGGTATCCATCCCCTCATGCATTTATCCTTTGTGTTACAAACAATACAGTTATTCTCTTAGTCGTCTCAAAATGTACAATTAAAGTATTATTGACTATAGTCCCCCTGTTGTGCTATCAAATACTAGGTCTTATTCATTTTTTCTGTCTTTTTCTTTTGTCCATTAACTATCCCACCTCCCTCCCAGGCCCCCACTACCCAGCCTCTGGTAACCATCCTTCCACCATCTTCAGGAGATCAATTGTTTCCTTAGATCCCACAAATAAGTGAGAATATGCGATGTTTGTCTTTTTCCATCTCTTTAAAAATTACACAAGGTTATGATTACCTTAGCAACGTTTTCCTCTCCGTACGAGTAAGCAAGTCTCAAAAAATGGTAAACCAAAGCTGCAGAATTGAGGGCCCATAGAGTTGAATGCTGTGAACCACGAGTAGAGTTGCACCTGACTCTAACCATCCCACCACACCCGCCTTAGTGCCTACTCAGGGTGGGAGTCTCCACTTCCCACTTCCTAACTGGGTGACTTGGGGTAAATCACTCTCTCCTGGAGCTGTGGTTTTCTATTCCTTAAAATGAAGATGAAAATAACACCTACCTAATAGGGTTGTTGTGAGGTTTAAAATCATTAATACATGTCAGGTGCTAAGGACAGTGTCTGGCACGAGAAGAGCATTCGATAAATGTCAGGGACTATTACACCAGGAGGAGGAGGGGCCGTCCTCAGCAGCCCCCGCCACAGACTGTTGAAATCTCGAGCCCAAGCTGCTGGTCTTCCTCTGTCCTGTAGGTGGCGCCTCCCCGCGTTGAGCGCGCCACCTGCGTCCTGGAGCGCCTCGAGAAAGCGGAAAGAAGTAAGTTTTCACATCTCTGCTCGGTTTAGGATTGCTAGAGTGGGATCTTCTGCAGTCACCTGAAGCCTGTGCCCAGGACAACCAGGTTTTGGGATCCGATTTCCTTCCTGGAGTGGCTTTGAATCCATTTCCCGCTGCACCCCACACCCGTCACCTGGGCGCCTCCCCTGCACCCGCAACCCGGAAAGACTCCTGGGATGATTGCACTCCCAGCACCTGAGGTAGGGAGTTGAGTGGGAGTTTCTTTCCTGCCCGGTTAAAATGACAAATTGGTACATGAGTGCTTAATGAAAGATGCTGGAAACGTCCGTGGAGATCAGAAAAATCGCCTCTCCGAGCTGACAGCCAGGCCATCTGCATTCCCGCATTCCTATTAATTCCTTAACAATAAACGACAGGAGCGCCTAGAGGGTTAACAGCTTAATTTAATCTCTGAGATTCCTTCCTGGAGCATTGAGAATTAGAAAGGCATTTACACAACGTAATCTGCACACCTGATTTTTCCCCACTTGATGTGTCTGGGACTAGTCACACCTATTTCTGACACATCTCCAGAGAGAGGCTCTGCCCCTCTGGCCGATGACTGCATAGTCGCCACAAGTTGCTGTGGACTCTGAACCACGACTGGACTCCTAGTGTCACAAGATTTGGCTTCTTAGCAGCTGCCCCCAAAGTTGCTTTACATTATGTTCCCAGTGCCTTTCAGGGACAGGAAGTTCCTCAAATAGAGATAGAAATGTGGTGCCCAGTTGCGAGTGAATTTCCTTCCCTTGTGGGAAGCAAGGCAAAAATGGGGAGAGGTACGTGATAGCAGCAATCAGCTTGGAGAGCTGTGAGGTCAGGTTTTGAAAGTCCCTGGCAGATCGAGAACTATTCTTTGGAAATGCTTGATTCTAATGCCAGTCCTCTCATTTTATGGATAAGCAAACTGAGACTTGGAAATGTCTAATAAATTTGTTTAGGCCCTATGTCCAGGTAATGTCAGAGCCCCAAAGTAGAATTCAGGTCTTTTTACTCCTGGACAAATACTTGTCTCACGATAAGGTTGGAAAATAGATTTCATCTTACATGGTAACTCCCATCATTGGCTGGTAGGGACTGCCCAGGGCCCTATGGGCTTCTCAGGGTATGTCCAGGCATAGCAGGAAAAGCCTTAGTGACCATTTGAAGATGTCTTCCAGGAACAGGGAAGGAGCAAAGGTGCCAGATATTTGCTAGCCCTGCATTTTTCATGCTGTTTCCTTCAGGTTAAAGCATTTAAAGGCTCTATTAAAATGGAAATGTTAGCTGAGAGGAGTAATGCATTAGGCCATTATCTGTCATTAACACCTTGGGTAAAACATACTGAAGATTAGTTTGCTAGTTGTCCAGCAGTTCCTGAAGGAATGAGAGTTTTGACCCAGATAGGGGCCAGGGAAATGACACACAGCCCTGTCCATAGGGGTGAAATATTTGGAAGCCCATTGCAGATAGGAATTAGGTTGAACACACGGGATATCTAGTGGAAAGAACTCTGAGGGACCAAGTTAGGGAAAGAAGTGACCCTGAAGACATTTTTGCACAATTCTCTCTTGGCTTACCTTGTATAACATGGTTTCTACCAGTCACGCTGCTTGATCCTTCGTTTCTCCACCTGTAAAATAAAATTAAAATTTTAAATACCAAGGCTTGGTTCCTACCCCAAGTCAACTAAATCAGAATGCCCAGGAATGGGACCCTGCTCTCCCTTTCCCCTAACACTTCTCTATAGAACATTCTGGTCTTGGTATTAGTCATCATACTGAAACAGGAAATTTTCCTTGACCCCTTCATGGACCTTGCAACAGGGGTGCCTCACTTACTCAGCCCTCAGCTCTCAATCCCTCACAGGAGGGAGAGCATGCAAGTGAGCAGGTGCAGGAGCCAGAGTGAGTGCTTTCAGGTGCTGGCAGGAGCACAACTGTGCAGCCCTGCAGCAGCATCTGGGGGGTGCCTGCAACCCCTGAAGACCCAGAGGGCGTGTGTTACAGTGTGCTCTTTTAGCTTTGCTGTCCATGAATGGCTTAAGTGTTAACAGCTCAGTGGAGGGTCAGTGTGACAACCTTTTGCACCCATACCTGAGTCCTTGCAAACTAGGTTGCATGAAAAAATTGAAGGGCGATGAATGTGGAGAATTTTATTGCTGATAAAAGTGGCTGTCAGCAGGATGGGGAGCTGGAAGGGGGATGGAGTGGGAAGGTGATCTTCCCCTGGAGTCCAGCAGTCCCCTGCTGGAAACTTCTCCAAAGTCCCACCATCAAGCCATCCCTCTGAAGTCAAGCTGTTTCTTTCCAATGTCTGGCTACTTCTCTTCTCTCCTTCTTTGCCCCCTGCCAGTTGAGCCAGGGGACTTAATGGGTACAGGATGGGGGGTGAGGCAGGTCATGGGTGATTTTGGAAAAGGCAACATTTGAGCGGGAAAATAGGAATGCATGGTCTCACTTTGGACTGCAGTTCTAGGCTTGAGGGTGAGGCTTCGCCAGGGATCCTGCCCTTTTCTGCCTAGAATTTCCCTGCTTCCTGCCCCTACCAATACCATCCTGTCCTTACCCACACACTAACATATTTTATATGCTTACAATGATACAGGCTCTGTATCATTTTATATTTTCAATGTGTCAAAATGCAGAAGCAGGTAACAAAAAACTGAAAGCGTCAATAAAAGTTCTTACTCTCTCACAAAATAAGAAATGTAGAGGTCCTATTTTGGTTCATCAGCTGAAAAATACTATGACTGACCAGGCTTCTTTCATCCTTTTGCTTTTCTACCTTCAGTGTTGGCTCTTGGTCTCTAGGCTTGCATGGTTGCCATGGTTGAAGAAATCATGTGCTCATACAACTATACTCATAGACATGAATGAAAGAGCAGGAACCTCATGCATACTCACCCTTTTAACTAGAATAAAAATGTCCTCAGATGTCTCCCAGTAGTCTTCTCCTTACCTCTCCTTGGCCAGAACTGTGTCATGTGGCCTAATAGAATCTGAATGTTTGTGTCCCTTCAAAATTTATAAATTGAAACCTAATCCCCAATGCAATATATTAAGAGGTAGAACCTTTAGGAGGCGATTAAGTCATGAGGGTGGAGCCCTCATAAATTAGATTAGTACCTTTGTAAAAGAGGCCCAAGGGAACTTGTTCACTCCTTCCATCATGTGAAGATGCAGCAAGAATGCACCATCTATGAAGCTGAGAACACGACTTCATCTGAATCTGCTGGTACCTTGATCTTGGACTTCCCAGGCTCCAGAACTGTGTGCAATAAGTTTCTCTTGTTATGAATTACCCAGTCTGAGGTATTTTGGTGTAGCAGCATGAATGGACTAAGACAAGGCCATTCCTAGTTGTAAGGGAAACTGAGAAAGCAAGAATCTAGTTTTTCAGTCTCTGTCATGAGAGGCAGCTCTGCCAGAAGTATATTTGATAAGCAGTAAGAATATTTGAGAAAACATGGGGCAAAATTAAATATCTATAACAACAGTTGAGGACTTAAATGCAGCTGCTACTTTATATACTACTTTCTTAACTAACTAAAGCCATTTTCTTCATATCTGTGGTTCTAGCTCCTGAGACCACAATCTCCTACCTAGGCAGGAAGTATAAAAGAAGATCAAGGCCATTTAGATGTGTTTGTTAATTTGTGCTGTGACTATAAATGTCTTCCTGAACAGCAGAATCTTGTCATCTGGGATCTGATTCCTCCACTTCATCTTGCTAACTAACCTCACAGTGTTTAGACCTTCATCATACTCTTGAACAAGGGAGACTGCCCACTTTCTGGGATCTGTGCTTTCATCTCTAGATCCCCAGACCTGGTGTGTGTCTGTCTTTGACATCTGCATAGCTCTCTAGTGATCTTATCTCCCTGACAGGCAAACCAGGTTCTGCTGCGGGGTGTGTGAAAAAAGGCATGACTATAGTTATACATCTGAGTATCTACGGAACAAGCCAAACATGTAAATATTCAGGAGATACTAAACCAAGGAACCATCAGTGGAATTAATCAAATTAGGGCTAGCTTCTGGCAAAATTTGACATTTTAAAAAAAGGCCTTTGGTTAATGGGTTAATATCCTTAATGTGTAAAGAGTTCTTACAAATATATGTAAGAACAAAGGGACAAATATCCCTAAAGAAAAATGAATAAAAAGTAGAACAAGGCAATTTATAAAAGAAGTAATATGAAAGGCCAGTACATACGGTTTTAAAAGTTTATCCTGGCTAGGCATGGAAGCTCATGGTTGTAATCCCAGCACTTTGGGTCACTTGAGCTCAGGAGTTTCAGACCAGCTTAGGCAACCTGGTAAGACCCCATCTCCACAGAAATAAAAATAAAAATAAAAATTAGCCAGATGCCATGGTGCACACCTGTAATCTCAGCACTTTGGAAGGCCGAGGTGAGCGAACTGTTTGAGCCTCAGGAGTTCAAGACCAGCCTGGGCAACATAAAGAAACCCTGCCTCTACAAACAAAACAAAACTAAACTAAACTAAAAATTAGCCAGGTGTGGTGGTGCATGCCTATAGTCCTAGCTACTTGGGAGGCTGAGTTGGGAAGATCACTTGAGCCTGGGAGGTTGAGGCTGCAGTGAGTTGTGATGACCACTGCACTCCAGCCTAGGGTGAGCAGGAGACAGAGTGATACCCTGCCTCAAAAAAACAAAACAAAACAAAAACCCCATAAAGCTCATCCTTACCAATAATCAAATAAATGTTATTTAAAACAATATACCAATTTGTCAACTTGACAAAGGTTTAAGAAGGTTCTAAAAAATGTAATATATAATATGCTAGATAAGATTAATTCCCACTTGATATTCATCCCCACTATTTCTGGTGTGCTTTTCTGGACTGCAGAGGCTGTAAAGTAAAATACTACATCTTCCAGACTCCCATGTAGCTAGGATTCTGGATGTGAATTGGGTTCTGCAAGTTAAACGCACTTTGCTGAGATTTGTATGATGCTGCCTGCTGCTGTGCAGAGGCTTTAGCCGTGATTCTTTTGGGTTAGATCCTTCAAATAGTTGAGCCCTGTGGTAAATAATAGGCTTCATAATAACTAATGTGTAGGATGCTTTAAATAAGATAGAAGGCTGGGCACGGTGGCCTGTAATCCCAGCACTTTGGGAGGCCCAGGTGGGTGGATCATGAGATCAGGAGTTTGAGACCAGCCTGGCTAACACGGAGAAACCCTGTCTCTACTAAAAATACAAAAAATTTGCTGGGCGTGGCGGCACACACCTGTGATCCCAGCTACTGGGAAGGTTGAGGCAGGAGAATCTCTTGAACCCAGGAGGTGGAGGTTGCAGTGAGCCGAGATCATGCCATTGCATTCCAACCTGAGTGACAGAGCAAGACCCCACCTAAAAAAAAAAAAAAGAAAGAAAAGAATATTTCCTGTATATTAGCTCAAGGAAGTAAGTTATTTTCTCCCAATTTTGGCTCTGACTTCATGGCCTTGAACAGGTCACCTACCTCTCTGGATTTCAGTTTCCTCATCTATGCGGTGAAAGATGTATTAGATTATTTCTGCTGCCTCCAACATCCTAGCCCTATACCAATCAAACACAGGGCTAGCTCATTTCTCTTTAGGAGCATCTGTCATTCAGGTGACCCTAACTTGGCTTGAAGATCAGTGGGGAACCCCAGACTCCTGTTGTGGCAGATCAAATTTTATTTCCTTGGTCAACTCATTTGGTCACAGTAGAGACCACATGTACTTGCAGTGTTAGTATTTATGTGTTTTTGCCATTTTAGTTCCGTGACTCTTCTACACAAGTGGGTAGGTCATGTGGTTTTAGGGCGCCTAGGTCAGGGTCCTTAAAACTCTCCTGCCAATGATTTCCCATCTGCCCCCACCTCATCCTGAATGCTGGCATAATGCATTCACCATTAGAAATGGCTCTATTAGGTCAAGGAATTGTTTCTAGTTAAAGTGAAAATACATTATGAAAAGAAGTAATACATTAATGTATTAACCTTGGCTAACCTCATTAGCACTTATTACACATGAGGTTAGCTAACTGGTTATCATTTTGGAGGTCAGGGAGCAGATCTGGAGGAGAAAGGGAGCCTAGGCTTGACAAAGTTTGACTGGGGGAAAGGGTTCCCGAGAAAAGCAAGATTAGGTGAGGTGCTACAATGGGACACACTGGGAACCTTGGGGACAGCATGAATGTGTGAATGTACTTCTTTCTTTCTTTATTTTTTTGAGCCCAGGCTGGAGTGCAGTGGTGTAATCTCGGCTCACCGCAACCTCTGCCTCCCAGGTTCAAGCAATTCTCCTGCCTCAGCTTCCACAGTAGCTGGGATTACAGGCGCACTCCACCACGCCCAGCAAATTTTTGTATTTTTAGTAGAGACGGGGTTTTGCCATTTTGGCCAGGCTGGTCTCGAACTCTTCACCTCAGGTGATTCACCCACCTAAACCTCCCAAAGTGCTGGGATTACAGGTGCAAGCCACCACGCCGAGTTGAATGTACTTCTTTCCTTCATTCAAACAAATAAACATTTATCAAGTGTTCATTATATACTAGGCACTCTGTCAGGTGTTGTGGATACAGAGATGAGTGAAAATTAGTTGTGATTCCTGGGGAGATATGATCCAGTTGCGGAGAGGGATCAAATGTAAAATAGGCAAGAAAGTACTACGCACACACACACACAGATGTATATGTGTACATGTATACATCTTCAGTGCATGCACAAGATAAAGAGTGGCAAATTCTTGGGAGGCATCAGAACAAATTTCATGGAGTCAGTATTTCTTTCATTCCTCATATGAAGAAGGAGCTGTGAGGAGAAGGGAGGATGAACAAGCTGCAGCTACCTCATTATTTTTTATCTAGGGCCAGCTTGATAAGGGAAGTGAAAACTCTTCTTTGTGATTGGATAATGAGACAAATACATTTATAGAAGAATTGGCGGCAGAGTCCCATTTGAATCCTATCCTTTGACCTTTGGCGGGCAGGCTGTCTACCCAGCATCTACCAGTAGCAACATGGGGTACAGCTTTTGGTGGCTGAGAGCATGGGCTTTGCTCTCAGACTCTCTGGGTTTGAGCCCTGGTTCTTTGACCTTGGGCAAAGTACTTAAACCATCCATGGTTCCGGTTTTCTTGTTTGTAAAATGGGGAAGAAAATAACACCTGTTTCATGGAGTTGGGAGAATTAAATGTAATAACACATAGAAAACACTGTAGTAATTATCACGAATTTTTCTGAGATTTGTTCTATAAAACAAAAATGACCTAATTCAATAGTAGAACCAAGTAATTCTAGCTCTAGTTCAGTATCTTTTACCTCACTGATGAAACTGATAGCTACTCCGTGGTGTTCCAGGGACTCTTGCAAATCTTTTTTATAACCCTTTGTCTGCCTTGTATTCCCATCCAGTTCTTTTGTAATTATGATCATGCCTCACATTCAGAAAATTCAGGACAGGAAAATCTCACTGTGTCAAACAGATACAGCTAATGATTTTTTGTTTGTTTGTTTTTTGTTTTTTTGTTTGTTTTTACTTTAAGTTTTGGGATACATGTGCAGAACATGCTGGTTTGTTAGATAGGTATGCATGTGTCATGGTGGTTTGCTGCACCTAGGTTTTAAGCCCTGTATGTATTAAGTATTTGTCCTAATGCTGTCCCTTCCATTGCCCCCCACCCTCTTACAGGCCCTGGTGTATGATGTTCCCCTCCCTGTGTCCATGTGTTCTCATTGTTCAACTCCCACTTTTGAGTGAGAACATGTGGTGTTTGGTTGTCTGTTCCTATATTAGTTTGCTGAGAATGATGGCTTCCAGCTTCATCCATGTCCCTGAAAAGGACATCAACTATTCTTTTTTAAAGCTGTATAGTATTCCATGGAGTATATGTGCCACATTTTCTTTATCCAGTCTATCACTGATGGGCATTTGGGTTGGTTCCAAGTCTTTGCTATTGTAAATAGTGCTGCAATAAACATACGTGTGGCATGTATCTTTATAGTAGAATGATTTATAATCCTTTGGGTATATACTCAGTAATGGGATTGCTGGATCAAATGATATTTCTGGTTCTAGATCCTTGAGGAATCGCCACACTGTCTTCCATAATGGTTGAACTAATTTACACTTCCACCAACAGTGTAAAAGAATTCCTATTTCTCCACAGCCTCACCAGCATCTGTTGTTTCCTGAATTTTTAATAACCGCCATTCTGACTGGTGTGGGATGGTATCTTATTTTGGTTTTGATTTTCATTTCTCTAATGACCAGTATACATCTAGGGTTTTATATTCATATTACAAAATAATTATTTGTTTTAAAGGATAATTAATCTTTGTGAAGTTAATTTCCTATGTACCTGCAAAGCTGAATGCAGAATATAAAAACTTAGGTTTACATACATCTTAGAATCATAGAATTATGAAACCTTAAAGATGGAACAGACCTTAGAAATCATCTAGGCCAGTGGTTTTCAAATTTTTATTGTAGCTGCCCTATTTCTGTAAAAGTGTTATATTTCTTAGATGCATGATGCAGATGAAAGCAGAATTACTCTGATTAAACCAGGATGGGGAGGTGGAGTACTCACTCCTTTGCCCTCTTTCCCTATCCTGGAAGCAGCTTCTGAACATCTCTGAGTAAGCCAAAGGCCTCTAGGAACATAAATTTGAGTTCCACTGATCCCACTCAACAATTTCGTTTTGTACATTCCTTTTGTAAAACGTGTACTCCTGTTTTTCTATTGATTCAACTGTCTTATTTTCTTTTTTAAATTATAGTTCTTGAGGGAAGGAACCTTTTTAATAAAAAAATTCTGGGCTGGATGTGATGGCTCACACCTGTAATCTCAACACTTTGGGAGGCCGAGGCAGGAGGATTGCTTCAGCCTAGGAGTTCGAGACTAGCCTGAACAACATAGGGAGAACCCGTCTCTACAAAATAAAAATATAAATTAGCCAGGTGTGCTGGTGCACTGTGTAGACTCAGCTACTCAGGAGGCTTAGGCAGGAGGATTGCGTGAGCCTGGGAGGTCAAGGCTACAGTGAACTGTGTTTGCACCACTGCACTCCAGCCTGAGTGACAGAGTGAGACTCTGTCTCAAGAAAAAAACTCTTAGTGGACTTTCTCTGCATGTGAGTATTTAAGGCCTTGTCAAAACCTTCCTGTTAGTGTCAGAAATGACCAGAGACTGTAATTATATATAAACATCCCTTATTGAATCTTTGAAAAGTGATTTCATAGAACCATAGAATTTTCATCTTGAAGGGATCTTGGAGAACATGTACTTTAACATTCTCATTTTCTGGATGTGGAAACTGGGGCCCAGAAAAGTGGTTTGGTTATGTCATGTAGTAAGTTAATGGTAGAGCTGGGACAAGAGTCCCGGATGCCTGATTCTTGGTTTAGGGCTGTTTCAACTTAATAACTTACACTGCTAGGATATTATAGATTTGTATTCCTGAGAACACACTTCAACTACCTACAAATCATCTTACTTTTCTCAATAGTTAGACCAGAGAACTCTCTTTATAATCCATGGCCTATGTTTTATTATGTGTTTTGTTTTGTTTTTGTTTTTTGTTTGTTTGTTTTGAGACTGGGTCTCACTGTCACCCAGGCTGGAGTGCAGTGAGTGGCATTATCACAGCTCACTGCAATTTTGAACTCCCAGGCTCAAGTGATCCTCCTACTTCAGCCTCCCAAGTAGCTGGGACTACAAGCATGTGCCAGCATGCCTGGCTAGTGTTTTTTAGTTTTTGTAAAGATGTGGTCTCATTATGTTGCCCAGGTTGGTCTTGAACTCTGGAGCTCAAGCAGTCCTCTCGCCTCTCAAAGTGCTGGGATTACAGGTATGAGCCACTGTGCCTGGCTCTGTGTAATTTTTTTTTTTTTTTTTTTTTGAGACGGAGTTTCGCTCTGTCGCCCAGGCTGGAGTGCAGTGGCCGGATCTCAGCTCACTGCAAGCTCCGCCTCCCGGGTTCACGCCATTCTCCTGCCTCAGCCTCCCGACTAGCTGGGACCACAGGCACCCGCCACCTTGCCCGGCTAGTTTTTTGTATTTTTTAGTAGAGACGGGGTTTCACCGTGTTAGCCAGGATGGTCTCGATCTCCTGACCTCGTGATCCGCCCGTCTCGGCCTCCCAAAGTGCTGGGATTACAGGCTTGAGCCACCGCGCCCGGCCAATTTTTTTTAATAATAAAAATTAAGAACAATTGACATGAACAGATGTCCATGATATAGTAAATGGAAATGCAACTATTAGATGTGTCCCTTTTTGTTTAAAGTTTTGGATATTTCCCTAAGGTTTAGCTGGATGTATTTTTCTATGGTCACTCTTGACTCAAGTAGCTAGTGAACACCCAAGAATTTAATGATATAATAACCACATCTGTTAATTTTTATAAGTTGGCTTTCATGCCTTTATAACTCTTATAACAACCATAAAGTTATAAATTTACTTTCTTATTCTTTTTAACTATTACAGTGTTGCATAGTATCTATGCATCATAATTTTATAATTTATTTACCCAATTCCTTATTGACAATATTTAGGTTATCTCTGAATTTCAAAAAGTTGCAGTGAAATTCCTCACACATACATCATTTTGCATATCTGTGAGCATTTTTGTGGGATAGATTCCTAGAAGTGAAATTGCTGGATCAAATTTTGAGATACATTCATCCTCATATTCTTCTTTTGTTGCTGAGACAAAAATGAATAAACTTCAACATCTATACATAACTTTGTAGTCTATTAAGGTTTTTACACACAGAAAGTTACTTAAACTTTTAAACATCTGTGTGGGTTTATGGATGGGAAAATGAGGCTTAAATAAGTTAGTTATTTGCTCATTCTTAGGGCTAGGGAGTGTACAGTCAGATTTGAAAACTAAGCCTTCTCACTCTAGGTATAGGGCTAAAAGTCCCCAGCGAAAACACAGAAATAAACTATTAACAAAGACAACAGGAAAGTGAATATATTTTCTTTGGGCATAAGAGCCCACCAGTTTGGTCTGTTGGTAGCTATCAGCTGAAGCAAAAACATCATCTGGCCCTTACCCTGATGCCTTACTGAAGAGAGCACCAGCTTTTCTGTCAGAAGCCATCTCCATCTTCACAAGCCTTTTGGTTTTTTTTTCTTTTTTTGAGACAGGGCTTCACTCCATTACCCAGGCTAGAGTGCAGTGATACAATCTCAGCTCACGGTGCTGCCTTTACTTCCCGGGCTCAATCGATCCTCCCACCTCAGCCTCCTGAGTACTGGGATGACAGGCATCCACCACCACACCTGGCTAATTTTTGTGTTTTTTGTAGAGATGGGGTTTCGCCATGTTGCCCAGGCTGATCACGAACTCCTGGGCTCAAGCAATCTGCTTGTTTCAGCTTTCCAAAGTGCTGGGATTATAGGTGTGAGCCAGCGTGTCCAGCCCATAGGTCTTTATTTCCTGTGCAAGTCTCCCAAACCAGATGTCCCCTGTCCCTCTGAGATGAGGCACCTTTGGTGAAAAGTGGATGTTTTTAGATAGAGGTAGAGCATGTCTAAGAGTCCAGACCTTTAAATTATCTTGAGAACACTTTGGTTGTATCTCCAGAAATGATCACTGCCATAGTCTGCCATGGTGACAAGCGGTTCAAAGGGTGTTGAGAAAACTATTTGTGTCCCAGATGCAGAGGAGAGGAGAAGCCCTGAGACATGTAAATTAGACCTACTGGACGGGCCTTTAGGAGCAAAAAAGCTGTATGCGTGTGAGGGGAGAATGTGGCATGAGACAGTTTTTCTTCTGGACACAAGGAACCCTGTTCTGGTGAGCATCCTGCTCTGCTCCAAGGACCTGCATTTCAACTTGCCAGAGGGTTTTTAGCATGACCTGGCCCCATGAATGTCCAGTGACAGTAAAGATATCCCTAGATAAACATTTCTTTTTTTTTCTCTCCACCAGGGCCCTGTCCATGCTAACTTTTTTTTAAACTTTTCAAACCAATTGATGGTAAAGCATACATCAAGTCTTACTCAGTTTAATGGACACTTAGCGGGTGCCTACTATGTGTAAGGCCCTGTGGATGCAAAGCTGAAGAATACACAGAGATCTCTGCAGAAAGACTAGGGGGGCTTCTGTAGCACCTCCATTCTCAGCCACCCAATCCTACCCAACCACAGTATCTCTTGGGAGCAGATGCTGCTGATGTGGGCAAAGCAGAGTTAGCAAAGGCATGACTTGTCACACACCACTGCCACAATCTGTGGCTGTAAGGGGGCCTCAGCGACCTTTTGGGCCTGGGCTGTTTGGTTCAGCTTCCTCTTCTGAGACCCCATCTCTTAGCTGCATATTATGCTAGCAGGACCCAGGGAGATTTATTTGGTGACCTTTCTGGATGCAGAATCCAAGCAGGGGGAGGGAGAAAATCAGCTCCGAAGCGGTTAATTTTACTGGCTCCTAAATTGATAAGCGGTGGTACGTCAGTCTGAAATGAACTCGCCTTGTTCGACGGGGTTCTAAGACAGCGGAACTCAATCAACAGCAGGCCGCACGGTTCAAGGCTGCAATTCATCCCGCCGTGCCTCTGAAAAATGGGAGGTGACAGTTCATTTTGCCAGTGACAGTCTGTCGGTCTCGCTCGCTGCTTCTCCTGTCGATTGCCTGGCTGAGGTGAAGTGCAGCTCAGAGACACCCTCGTTTGGTATTCTACTCAGCTGAGCAGGATGGTCCCAGGACCCAAGGTGTGCAAATCTTACTGCCCCTACAGCTTGTCTTCTTCCCTTTTGGGAAGCTCTGAACTGCTCATGCATGATTACGGGTCCCAGGAGTCATCTTCCCACTTCCTGTCCTTCACCTTTCCCTCCAACCTTCACTTCCGGTGGACTGGGCTTCCTCCTGTCGCTGGGACCTTGTGAAACAAAGCTAATCTGTTCAGGAGCCTTCCAGCCTACCAGTAGAGGACTGTGCATAGGCAGCGACACGTGGGCGTGGTGCAAGTGGGGGCACGAGGGAACACCAGACACAACCAGCTGGGCTCTGCCTTGGCAACCACAGCTTTAGTTTTAGAGGAAACCCTTGAACAAGGGCAGAGGGAGGGGAAGGAGAGAGAGAGAGGAGAGAGGGGTGACTTTATGAATGCATGCACCTAATCCCAGGCTGCCACCCTTACCTAGTACTTTCTACTTCTCTGAAAATGACAACATGTATTTGAATTAGAGCTCATGTGTCTTTGCTAACTTTCCTCATTTTGATAACCGCACTGGGTGTTTGTGTTTTTTTTTTTGAGACGGAGTCTCGCCCTGTTGCCCAGGCTGGAGTGCAGTGGCACGATTGGCTCACTGCAACCTCCGCCTCCTGGTTCAAGCAATTCTCCTGTTTCAGCCCCTGTTACTGGGATTATAGACGCCCACCACCACATCCAGCTAAATTTTGTATTTTTAGTAGAGACGGGGTTTCACCATGTTGGCCAGGCTGATATTGAACTGCTGACCTCAAGTGATTCGCTTGCCTCGGCTTCCCAAAGTGCTGGGATTATAGGCATGAGCCACCATGCCTGGCCTCGTACTGGGCGTTATTTTTAAGGGAATATCCTCATTCATAGAAAATACTGCTGAAGTTTTTAGGGGAAAGGAGCATGATGATGGTAATTTACTCTCAAATTCAGAAAAAAATGTAAATTAATCTAGTACTAATTACTTTTCTGTAATTAATATTTTATTCATTATGAAAAATAAATTCAATAATTGATTATTAGTAAATTTAATAATTAATAATCAAAGTTAATAATTGATGATTCCAAGTGAATGGTATACTTGAGTTCTAGATACTATGGTAACTTTTCTGTAAGTTTGAAATTATTTCAAAATAAAATTATTTTAAAAAACCCAACAGGCCAGGCACAGTGGCTCACGCCCGTGATCTTAGTACTTTGGGAGGCCAAGGCGGGCGGATCACTTGAGGTCAGGAGCTAGATACCAGCCTGGCTAACATGGAGAAACCCTGTCTCTACTAAAAATACAAAAATTAGCTGGGCATGGTGGCGCACGCCTGTAATCTCAGCTAATCAGAAGTCTGAGGCAGAAGAATCGCTTGAATCCGGGAGGCAGAGGTTACAATGAGCCGAGATCGCACCATTGTACTCCAGCCTGGGTGACACAGCAAGACTCTGTCTCAAACAAACAAACAAACAAAAAACTAACAGACTTACCTTGTAGCACTTACTCAATAATCCTTTATTGAGGACCTACTATACACCAAGCATAGTAGTTGCTGGGAATACATTAGGAAATAAGATACGAAAAATCTGAACTCTTAGGAGAAGAAGACAGGTGGCAGGTAGACAAATATTAGGTTGGTGCAAAAGCAATTGCTGTTTTTGCCATTACTTTTAATAATTTTAATAATTACAGATGGGATGTGAGTTTTGCATAGCAGGTGCTAAATGCTACAGGAATGTAGGAGACAGATATATAACCCAGGCTGGGGAGCCAAGGCTGGTTACCAGAGGAAATGAAGTTGAGACTTGAAGCATGAGCATAGGTTAGTTGGGTGAAGGGGAAGGGGGAAGAGTGTTGTAGACAGAAGGAACAGCACATGTGAGCAAACGGAAGTGGGAGTGGGTATGACTCATTGAAAAACTGCAGGAAGTCTGTTACTGAAGATGACGGACAGTAAAGGGTCCATGCAGGCAGCGAGGTTGGAAAGATAAGCAGGAGGTTATGGTGGTGGTGATGGTAGAGACTTGTTAGCCATTGTGAGGAGTTAGGAAGTGTAATATTGGGAAGCTACTAAAATTTTAATTAGGGAAGAGGCATGGGCAGATTTTTTAAAATGACATCACTGGTTATAGAGTGGAAATGGGTTGGTGGGGCGTATAACCAGAGGGTTGCAAGGTAGAAGATGATGGTGGCTTGGACCAGGATGGTGGCAATAGACTAGAGAGAAACAGATTGTTTGAAAGATATTTACCAGCTAGACTTGGTAGAGGAAGAAAGAGGGATGAAAGATGACCCCCCCCCAGGGTTCTAGATTGGGCAACTGGATTATCCATGGTGCCATTTACTGACCTAAGGGAGTTGGAAGGAGGAGGTGACTTAGCCAAGAAGAGGACAAGTGGTTGTAGAGTCTGAGTTCACCCTGCACATTTCTCATCCAAAAATGTAACACCAAGTATAGCAGAATGGATATAGGCAGGATGGAACTAAGGCTTCAGTGAGTGGAGTGAGTATAATAATATCCCTGGTTTTCAAGGGTTCAGAATTTGACACTTTTCTATAATGATTCAGGCATATATAGGCAGGTCTGAAGAACAGGTGATATGATGGATAGATTGCTTTTTCTGTGCAGCAAACCTACCCATTTCTTCCAGAAATAACCATCTGTGTTATTTAAGAATTTCTTTCCTCCCCTATTCCACACAGTTTCTGTACGGGCTGCTATGTTGTTGACACCACCTCACACCCCACCACACCCTACCCCCACCCTCCCCATGGCCACAATGTATGCAGGTTGGGCCTATCAACTACTGGAGTATTAAAAACTTGGACCGACATGAGTAATACATAAATGGTTGCCTCTTCCTCCTCCTTAAAACACTAGAAGGAACTTTAGGGCATGTTCCTGGAGTCAATGGTAAACCCTGGGAGCTGGACAAACCCTTGGTGCTTGCCACACCAGTAATGCTAAGCTTGAGCCAGGGAAGCCTGCTACTTACAAGATACATGTTAAATGCTATAAAGGGATCCTGGAAAAGGTTGGGAAGTCTCTACCTTTCGAGATCATGGAGTTCTGGCATGTTAGACCGAGAAGGAACCTTATTTCCTCATTTATAGTTGGGAAACTGAGTCCTTTAATAAAAAGGAAAGACAATTAAATTACCTGTCCTAGACGGTTTAGTTACTCAGCAACCAGAAGACATAATGTCAGACCAGATGTTCCTTGGGGTTCCTATAAACTCCGTTATTCTTTGATCTTGTGATTCTGTGTTGGACACCAGACAATGACACCCCTGAGCAATCAGGTTTATACTCTCCTCAATGGCCTTAGAGAAAAAGTGTGGCCTGGGTGGGGACAGTTGTGTGGAAACCCACAGTCCTGTCACTTAACTATTTTCTTCTTTAGAATCTTCTCTCCTTTGGCATCAGCTGACACAGGAAGTGGTAAAGCTATTATCTGTAGATTCAGCCAAATCACCATTTCCTGATTCTAATGTTCATCAACCACTTTTGAATCCTCCCCCCACTTCCCCTCTATTTTAGTTTGAGGTTCAAAAGCACCCATGAGGTAAATTAATACTTAGCCGAGCAGAGTGGGGCCCTGATGCCCTTGTGGTTCTGCCATTAATTTGCTGTAACCCAGGGACATCCAGGCTAGTCATCATGTTTCTCTCTGTAGGTTAAAGGGTTTCTAAAGTTCCTTCCAGCTCTGAAATTCTGAGATTCCTTGTTGAATCTCATTCTGCAAGGGGAAGTTGATGGACCAGCTCCCTCTGGGAAGAAAAATGTTTCATGCAACCCTATGAATCTCATCTTAGTCCAGATCTTTTTTGTTTGTTTTTGTTTTTCAGAACACTATACTGGAAAAGTAAAAGAATCAGAGAAGCAGGATAACTGGCAACTGAAGTCGGCCAGCATCTCATGTGAATTAGAAATGGAATCACAGGGTGCTAGCATCCAAGTGACCAAAGAAACTCTTTGCTGAGGTGGCATGGAGTTTAAGGAAAGAGGTTATGGGGTCCTCCTTTAATGCAGCTACATTTCCCTCTGAGCCTCTGTCTGTTTCCTGTCAGTTTAGTGCAAAACCCTAGTCTACTACTCCGGGCTGGCTTAGAAAAAAATGCATCCTGGTTTTGTTCCAATTCAGGATAGAGGTGGGGAAGTCCTGCTGAGCCTCTCCCACAGCGAGCCTTCCCCTCACCACTGGCAGCACTGACACCAGTGACTAGCATTCACTTCTTGGGGTATGAGTCCACTGAGGGTGGGAGGATCCTCACATTAAGCATTATTGGGTACCATCTTAAATTGGGGACTTTGGAAGCCCTTGCCCTTCCCTTCCCCAGGCATTTTCTCCCTGGAGGGAAGATGTTGAAAGTTGGAAATTAAATGACTTGCCCAAGGTCACACTGTTGGTGACACAGCAGAGATGAAAACCTTGGCTAATCTTCTGAGTCTTTGGTCTGACCCTTATGCCACAGCTGCTCTTTGTATAAGGGACAGTCTCACCTCCCAAGGACACTGGGCAAGGATGCCAGGTATTGATACGACTGTTGTCCCAGTGCCCAGTGACCTTCTATATCCTGCAGCCTGCTCAGACAGTAGAGGAAGCAGCTCTGGGGCAGAGGGAACTGCCATATGCAGAGCTGCCCTGGTGAAGATAACAGGTTGTCTGTCAAGGTATGAAGACTATGTAGGGCGAGGACCACAGAGCTTCCACTGCAGGAGAAATTAAACCTGTCTCGCACACCAATCCCAGTGCTCTGATTACATTTACAGAGGTCACGGCCTGCATTCTGTCACCATGGAAACCTTTCAGGCTGCCAGGGTGTTGTCTGTGCTTGAGGTTGATATTTAAAGGCGAAGTCGCAGGCCGCATTGCTGAACTATCAGCTGCCACAGGCAATTGCTCTCCTCCACCAGCCTGCGTCCTGGTGCTTCATCCCAGAGATAAGAGGAAGGGGAAGAGATGAAGAAAAGGGCCCACCTGTCTCTAACAGGCAGGTCTTTTTAGTAGAGCCAGGTTTGTAGGGAGGAAGGCTATAGGATGCAGGTGCTGGGATAGCAGATGAAGGGCAATAAAAAAGGGCCCCAATTTTGTCAGAATATAAGCATGTTCTCACAAGTGCACAGGCCCTCATGTTGAGTGCATCCCATTTTTTCTCTGATTCCTCCTCTAACTCATGAGCACATGTCATAGCGGCCATATGGAGCTGGGGAAGCCCCCTTTGCCTGAATGCCCTTGGTGGTTTCGATTTTGCACATCTGGTAGCTGCGTGAATTGTGCTGATAACAATATAGCTTATGAAGGATCCCTACTTTTTCTAAAGACCCCATAGCACTGTCCTGGAAAAAGCTACCATGGGAGTGACTTATCAGGAGTCCCAGGTGTTGGAAGAGGTAAATAACACCTGATTCAACAGAGTAAGAAAAGAACACAAGTGCTGACTCGGCTTGTGACCATCAATTTTTTCTTTAGTCTCAAGACAATTATTTCCACACCATTGAATGGAGTGTAGATAACACGGGCACCTTAATAGGCTGAGAGCAGAGGCTGTTTAGAGGAGATTTCAAGCACTGTGAGCATAAAATGAACATGAATATTCTGCAATATGCGTCTTACAACTTGTCATTAAGTGGATGGCCTCAGTGATGTGATGCAACAGGCTTTGATTAGAATATTGAGCTCTGAAAAAGGAAATTCTGCATCAATAGTCTCATGATGCGGAATATCACGTATTACTCAATAAAACTTGTCATTGTGTTGAAAGTGCAGATGATAAAAAGTACAGCAGCAGATAGGAACAGCTTGATCCACAAGGCACTTTTCTTTAGGAATTTACAGCCATTCCCTGAAGCTTCTCAACTGTCCTTGGAGGTAGAACATGGTATAGCCTGAAATTACAACTCAGGAAATCAAGTGGATTTGTTTGATTTAGTTTCTAATCCTCCAAACTATGAAGACTTCTTTATCATGTTTTCTATTTCTCCACTTACTTATCTTTTCATTCAACTTCTCATTCAGTTTCTTTTCCCTTTTTCTTTCTCACTAGCCTCATCCCTAGGCCATCACCCCTCCCACACACTCCCCAAGTCGTGTCCGTCTGCCACAACCCCAGCCCTTCTGTAGAGCTTAGCCCTGCTGGCAGCTCTCCAGACTAAAAAGACTGCAGACTCCTGGGATATGATCTTCCTTCTGATTGGTTCATTGCAGGGTCTTTATTTATAGTGGAAACTTTGTTTTTGCCGCAATGAGTGAAAAGAGGAGTTAATATCTCATGCCTTCCAGATCAGTGTTTCCCCCATGTGGTTTGGAGAACACTGGAAGTATTCTAGAATAGATAGGACAGGGAGGAAATCTCTGGAGGTTGGCAGGGAGAATCTGATAACCTTGATTTGTTAGAGCCTGGTGCCAAGGAAGCCAAGGCCATTCTATTCATCTCTTTAAAGGCAGATTAGCTTCATAAAGAGGAAAACTCTCATCCTTGGCAACCAATGACACCGATATCTTGGTCACTCCTCAAATATATCTTTAATGAGTAAGAAAGATCAAATGAGAGATTATGGATAATTTGTATAAGTATTTATTGAGCATCTGACAGGTGCTAGTTTTTGCGGGAAATGCAGGGACAGTAATCACTAAACTTCACGAAGCAACTACCATGCGGCAGGCAGGTGTAAGCAAAACATATATTAGCTCTTTGGATCTTCACAACAACCTTGAGAATACAGTTACTATTGCCATTTTACAGTGGAGGAAATTGAGGTATATGCAAGATAAGTAACTTGTCCAAGGTCACAGCAAGCAGTGGCAGATTTGAGCACAGGGCTGTCTGACTTTAGGGCCACTACATTCTATACTCTATCACCTCTTTGATGGGGTCAGAACCATGCTTTGGGATAAATACTCTGAAGCTTATGTGAGGGGTGGCATGGGATGGTGGGGAAATTGGATGAGGGAGGCCGGGTTAGAAGCCATTTCAACTTATCACTTCCCAACAAACATGTTGAGAACCAAACCCAAAGAGGTGACATTAAGGATGCAAGGAGGGTAAGGATTCAAAAGCCACTGTGAGGAGGTAAGACTAGTGGCCATAGTGGCTGTTTAGAATGAGTGAGGAAGGGTCTAAGATGACTTCTATATTTTGAGCTTGAATCATCAGGAAAACAGAAATGCCTTTATAACATTACTTTTTTTTTTTGGAGACAGAATCTCACTCTGTCACCCAGGCTGGAACGCAGTGACACGATCTCGGCTCACTGCAACTTCTGCCTTCTGGGTTGCAATGATTCTTGTGACTCAGCCTCCTGAGTAGCTAGGACTAAAAGCGTGCGCCACCATGCCCAGTTAATTTTTGTATTTTTGTAGAGATGGGGTTTCGCCATGTTGGTCAGGCTGGTCTCGAACTCCTGGCCTCAAGCAATCCACCTGCCTTGGCCTCCCCAAGTGTTGGGATTACAGGTGTGAGTCACCACACCCGGCCTAACTGTTATAATTTATGGAGCATATACTATATACATACATCATCCTACTTAACCCTCACAATAACCCTGTAAGGTGGGGATTATGATCTCCAATTTTCAGATGAGGAACTTGAGGTTCATGGAGCTCTGCCCAGAGTCTTTGAATAGGTAGGTGGCAGAGCCAGAAATGGGACCCAGGTCTTTCTGATTTGTAAGCCCATGCCCTGTCCACTGAGCTTTCTTGCTATTGTAATAATTAAGGAGAGAGGAAATAACAATTTGGTGGAACTGCTCAGATATCCAGGTGGGAATGTGGGGCAGAGGTACAAATCAGCAAAGCAATCTATACAAAGGGGAACGTTGTAGTAGCATGAGAATAAAACCACTAGAGATTCAGAGAACAAAGAGAGAAATGAAAGAAGAGGGATGGGAGAAAGGCAAGTAGAAAGCTTTGGCGAATACCTATGACTAGAAGGTGATATGAAGAGAGCCAAAGAAGGAGGCAGGGAAGTCACAGTTAAGATGGACAGGAAGAGGACCAGATAGGGCAATGCCAACCAAACTGGGTGCTTACAGCAACAGCACGTGGTCAAGACCATCCAATGATCCAAAAAGAAGGCTGGTGAGGACAAAGGAGAGTGGAGAAGGAGGTCAGTGATGCTCTTGGGAGAGATATCCCTTTGGTGGTGTGAAGACAGGCAGGCAAGGTTAAGAGACGGAGGAGAAAGGACATGATATTTGATGGAGGAAGTTGATGGGGGCAGGGAAGGAGAGGAAAGGTTGAGAGTTGGAGGAGGTAGAGGGGTGGAGGGAAGATCTTGATTTTTAAGGATAGAGAAGACCAAGGATGTTAGCAGGCAGAGGGAAAGATTGAAGATGAAAAAGAATGTGAGACTGAAGATCTCAAATGTGGTGTAAGAGAGTGTGATCACATTCTAGTGGAGGGATGAGAGGAGGCAAGACAAGAGTCAAACTGAAAAGCAATGCAACATGAACTGATGGTGCCATTTTGTGTATGAAAGATAGTGTGGTTTACACAGGAAGAAAATGCTGTGGGAAGGGGAGTCCAGAGATATTTAGGAAGAGAGGCTGGGTATGGTGTTTGGCTGGACACGGTGGCTCACGCCTGTAATCCCAGAATTTTGCGAGGCCAAGGTGGACAGATCACCTGAGGTAAGGAGTTCGAGGCCAGCCTGGTCAATGCGGTGAAACCTTGTCTGTACTAAAAATAGAAAAATTAGCCTGGCATGGTGGCATGTGCCTATAATCCCAGCTACTAGAGAAGCTGAGGCAGGAGAATCGCTTGATCCCGGGAGGTGGAGGTTGCAGTGAGCCAAGATGGCACCATTGCACTCCAGCCTGGGCAACAAGAGTAAAACTCCATCTCAAAAAAAAAAAAGAATAGATATTTAGAAAGAAAAAAAAAATGAAATGGACACTGACACAATTCTGAAGGCAAGGAAAGAACACATCTTGAGGACCTAAAGGTCATTCCAAAGGATATCCACTAGGGCAAAGGTATTTTTACTTGCTTTCTTAGATTGAAATA